AACAAGATATCGGCAGCCAATTGCCTCTTAAGATCTATAGTCGTATTTGAAATTTTATTAAAATACTTCAGTCTGCAGCGGCTACTTGTATATCATAATGGGAAATTTATTGAAATATAATATCTTTGACGAATTTATCGTTCAGTGTACATTTTAATACATGTACATGTTGTGTGTTGACTGAGTATATATACCAGAGGGGTATAAATCTTACATGACAAATCATTCTCAACAGTGACAGGTGATAACTGATTTCCCGCCTTTGATATCGTAACATGGTTTTATCGCTGTGTGTATGTTCTCAGGAAGAACAACTAACTTTGAGTTTTTTTGACCATTCGGGTGGCCTGTCTGCATAACCTGTCGGCTCCATGTCCAACTGTTCAGTGTAAGGAGCTTGTAAAATTTCCAACAACTTTTGAACTTCTGAAAAGTCGTTATCTTCAGCTTTTCGTATTGCCGATTCAGCCATCCAGTATCGTAAAATGTATTTCGGGTTTACATCTGCAAAATAGCAAGCAAAAAATGTCAATTGTTAGAAGGGTAAGGTGCAGTATTCCTGTTACGGAGACTTGGAAACTCCCTAAGCCTACACTAGTAGGTAACATAGCCCTGCAAGATGAGGAAATCCAGACAGTTGGGGCATTTTGTGATTTATAACAAGTGGTAATATGGATAAGGACAATGTTCCAGGGCGACAAGCGTGTTCTACTACACTTAGTTATGCTCATTAATTTAACTGGGATGTACAAGCTAAATGCTGAAAAATTATTAAAGATATGCCTGGTAGAAAAATTAGAAGAATTCAGCCATTCATTGAAACATGTATGGATGCATCACATTTGAATACATTCCTTTATTTATGTCAGACGCGGCAATAGTTTAGCATGTGAAAAAAGATGTATAGTAATAAGGTTATCGTGAGAATAACGCAAAGTACGTACTCAGGCATTGCATATACTCGCAGGATTAAAACCCAATAGATATGGATGATATATCTTACTAACAAACATCAAACAGTGTCATCTGTTGATTCAAAGTATAGGCTAGATATTGTGTGCACGTGTGGCATTTCCACTATTTTCACAACTTCAATACTCATCTGTTGGGGGAGATCATTTTGTTAAAACAATGAAAATGCTCTAACAATATATTCTCTCTAAAGTTTCTTACTGTTCATGCGATTCATTCTTTTTACATCTGTATCGTCTTCGCTTGTGATTCTTGCATAGTACAATTGCAGCCAATTATTCCACTTTTCATGTAGCTGTAATGTTTTCAAAGCCCACAGGGCATCAGAAACATTGTTATTTTGAATATGTTGAAATGTTAGGTTTCCAAGTTGTCTGAAGGTCATCGTGAAATCAGTTCTGGTGTCTTCCATCATCTAGCACAAAATAAATTAAAAAAAATAAATTGCTGCTACAAAGCTGACAGAATTTAGAATTTAATTGTACACAACTGCATAACCTCACTGTAATGTACTACCTTCAATAATAACCCAATTATATATTCATCTTTGTCATCAGTACTAAGGAATCCAAGTTTGCCTCGAAAAATCTCCATAAATCTCGTCTTGTATATATCGATGTAGCCCTGAAGAATCATCTCTGACCTAATAAAAACCAAAAATAATCCATAGATTAATTGCTATCATGCTTTTCCGACCGAAATAACGTTGAAACCGCTAAAAACTATTCATCATTAATTGCAAATGAAATTTACTGCTATCTATATAGGTGTTCATATATTGTACGAAAAAGGGTACATCAAAACATTGGCCAAGAACTATTGACACAACAAACCCATTTCAGGCCTGGGGTTTTTATTGGCCGATGGCATAGCAATGATATATTACGTTATGTATTAAATTTGATCAAAATCTGCTTTATACAGGCTAAGTGACATAATTAATATGCAAAGTAGCTACTTAATATGCACAGACATAGCCCCAAAACTAATTATGTCTTCGTATTACCCCCAAGGGTACCTATATACTAAATATGATCTAAATCTGCTAAGAAGTTCTGAAATTTTGCTCACACACAAAACTCGGTTTGCACACATGGGAGCTAAAAATGAAAGGAATTGGTTTTTTGTGTTGATTGTAGAAATATATGATGCGGGTGACTGTAAATTGCTAAGATCACAAACAAAGACTCCCAAGTGAAGGCCTGCCTGTGTAAGTTTGACAATGAGTACGTAGCACAATAGCTTACAAAAAGATATTAGATTTCATAGTTTTTAGGGTATTAAAACTAATACAATTTTAACTCATCAAAATTACACTTACAGCTGCTTTTGTTTATTGTTCCATAATGGCCACAATGCGGCTCTCAACCTGTTCATATTAAAATGTCCAATGTCCGGTTGGTTTTCATAGCTGTACATGCCCTCGTCATCAGATGTGTTAGGAATAAAGCTCGGATTGTAGTCGTCAAGGAAACCAAATGGCCCATAGTCAATAGTGATGGAGAGTAAACTAAAATTATCTGTGTTCATCACTCCTGGAAAAGAAACGAAATATGTCAACAAGTAGCCTATCGAGAAATAAAATTTTATGAGAATATTTTAAAAAAACACTTAATTTAATTTTTTCCTACCAAAATTTTGATACATCATTTTAGAGCTTTTTTGTGTTAATTTTGGATAGATTTATGAAAGGTTACAAAAGTTTACAGCCAAATTTTAAATTTTGTTAACAATTTTCACAGTTTCATAATTTAAGTTAAATCATGATGATGAAATTTTATAAAAGTGTCTTTAATGAGAGTATTGGGCTTATTATGAATTTGTACACATTGTGAGGAAAACATCAAAGGTTTGTCAGCATTCTGCATTGTTATGAGTTTTTGCAGCCTGCAGTAGTTCAGATCAGAAGCAAATCATTTTGAATCCATGTGCATTGGAACACTATTAAAAGAGAAAAAAATTCAAAAAGCAAATCAAACAAAAAATCAATTACCCTTATAAGCAATTGCCAGCACCCACACATGCTACAAAGTATCAAAATTTGAACATTTATTATATATATTCCAAATATATCACACAACACTAGCTAGACCGCAGTAAGGCTCTATATGTATGCTCTGACAGCATAACTTTAACGATCATAGTAATTACAGAAATGCCTGTCTTCTAAAATTAAAACCGTTTTCATGCGTTAATTGATAAAAAAAAACCTCACCATGAGCAAAACCAACCGACATCCATCGTGCCATCAGGTCTGCTGTTTGAGACACAATCTCAGAGAATAACGATAAATATTTATTCTCATCGGAAATATCAATGGAAGGAAAGTAATTCTCAATCACAAAGTCTGTTAATCTCCTGAAAGACAGAAAACATTGTACATTGGTTGAATGTATTCTTGATGGTTGAATCCAACAGCAAGTCTAACCCAAAAAATTAATGTTCCTGATCAGAATGCGCACTACCAAAAAAACAATTATTTTCTTTTTCATATTTCACCACTGCACAGCGCCCTCTGTTGAATTGCAAAATGAACCTGTAAAATATGTGAACATGTGCTTAATTCCAACTTATGTTTTTCATAGTCACAGATGCGTGTTCAACAATACAATGTTTAATGTGAAGTAAATGTTTCAACATCAAAATGTTATCGTCGTAAAGTGCTTCTTCCATGCTGAGTTAATTTTTCAATAATAATTACTAATTTTCTGATTAAAAAAAAAATTATATTCAAAGACCATACCGTAGCTTTGGTGAACATCTTCTGTGTCGTGATTGCCCTTCAGTGAGATTCTGGTATTGTCATTAACATATTTAAATGAGTTATGATAATTTGAACAACTTTTAGCTGGCACCATCCAGCAATCTTATTGGTTAAACTGTTTATGACTGCTATATTTTTTAGAACCAAATTAAGGTCTTAACTCACTTTTTCCTGACTCCTAAATTAGTATATATTATGATGCATAATCTCCATGCATTTGTGTATGAATGTCATTTCATGTAGATATGGTTTTGCACCAGCAGCCCATTGAATACCATATCTTTACTACCCAAACCCCTTGCATATTTTTATGAATTTCTGTAATATCTTGATAAACTTTTTGAAAAAATATGGAAAAAATTATGAGGATTGATTCTGGGCCAAAAAATTGACTTTAAAATACAAAGGACTAATGGCCTAATGGCAGTTAGATAACTATTATGAAAAACAATTAACATTCTTATACAGTAGAATTACAAACATACCGTAGTAATTTAATTTCACGTTTCATAGCAAGTATTTCAAGTGAACCAATCCTGAACCAGCTTTTAGCCAATCGTAGCACAACTGCAGCCTTCTCTGTTTTAGCATGTCCATCATAAAACTGATCTCTCCATACAGGATCACCACTGACAATGACACTACAGTAATAGAAATGTACAGAACATCACAATCAATGAAATGACATTGCTTACATAGCACATTTACATTTCAAATATGGAAAATTGATTTTGTAGCAAAATACCTTGAAATGTATAACATGTATTTATTTTTCTAAGAGTTAATTATATAGTGCAACATCTCCAAATCAACAAGCCATTATAAAAATGGAGGTTAATGACCAAATTATTACACTCCATCGGATCGACTGAAATCCAACAAGGAAAGCTTTTTGGGGCTAGGAAATACTCATGGGAATACTAAAAGTATTAATGAAGCTTGATACCACAGTATAAATTTGAATCAGGAATCATTTAATTGAGTGTCTTTAATATAACTTGTTACACAGTAAAAAATAAGTGGTCACTCAAGTGGATTTAGAGATAAGGTAGTCAAATCATGACAAAGTATGCCCTCTAGTGACCAGTAATGAAAATGTTTTATGTCACATTCATGACTGACTGTGGTTAGTACACAGTCTCTCTACTAGTAGATTGCCTGTAGTTAGTATTATCACATCTCACTGCTGTTACGCATGTTATGAGTGGTTGAGACTCGGTCACATGATATGGAATAAAAATGGATATTACATGGGTATATCACATGGATGACGTCACTGAAACTACTGCGCAACGATACTGCGCATAACAAATTGTCATTCGCTGCACTGGCCACTGTTGCTTTCGGGGTTGCTTTCAGGGTTTTGAAAGAACTTTAGCCATCCGAAATAGACAGTGAACGTGCCAGAATGGATATTAAGTAAGATACTCTGTTTTGATGTATAGGGTATTTTTTATATGGAGCGAAAATGTACGGCAAAGCCGCCACTGAAACGTCGCAGCCGGGGTCGCTGCAGCGCGTTCTACGCTGTGAGCATTTCTACGCGTTCCTCGCCGATGCTAACCAAAAACGCTCTAAACAAAGCTGTGTGGCTTGTGAATAGAAGGTGTGGTACTTTAGAGAGGAAGTTTTTTTTCAGTCACTTCCACGGCATGGCATTTTTATCTGGTGAGTGATCAAATAACTTGCGTTTGAGAATTTCTCAATTCATTTCAAAAATGTTATTCTCGATAATTTGAGTGATCCACACTGCTGAAACACGGTTTAAATAAAAAAAATATACATGGCTGAAAGTAACATTTACTGAGTGTATTTTTCAGCAAACAATGTATGTATGTTATTGAGTAATGTGAAACTTGTTATAATAGATAAAATAAAATATTGCATACTTCAATATACCGTAAGTGTTGTTATTTTGTGGGAGAGCGGGTGTGAGTGATGTATGGTAGCTGTGATTGTCATGGTGGATGTCTGTTCGATGTGATAAAATAAATAACACATGGTTATTCGGGCAATATCACG